ATTCATAGACTATAAAACATCTTACGAAAAACTTTTCTATTAAAAACTTTCAGAGCTGCTTCATCATTCTGTGATAAAGTCTATGCTTCTGCGTTATATAGTGACACAGATATAGAACGTAAGTTTTTCCTATAAAGAGATAACTATCCCAATTCTTAATTGAACTCATAAAAGCACCTATGGCAATGACAATTCCTTTTTTGATCTACAGGCTGAAATTGTTGTGATTACCCTGAAGTTCAGCAGTACCGAGATAGATGAAATTCTTGACATATTCAAAAGTTTAGTCACCAGCTACTAGCTCAGTGTCCGAGCGATGACCAGTAGCCGACATATATTGTGTTCTTATTACTATATAATATTATTTTGACTGTTCAATTTTAAATCTAAAACTGCTTCAATCCAGGTCGTAAAATGTTTAAATAGCTTCAATAAGATTTACCTTCCAACAAGATTTTAAATTACCCAAGTGATTGTGTGAAGGAAAGTATTTGAGATAATATACCACAGAGTTTTCTTCTACTTATAAAAACTGGTTCGCTTTAAACGTTACATAATATGATAAGGTATATTTGGACACTGTGAAGTGCGATCAAAAATAACGAGTCGCTTACTAAAGTTTCTAATTTATACACAAAACAACAATACTACTCTTTTGCTCAGCAGACTAGTTATGAAGCATCTAATTATCTAGGATACCGCAGAAAAAAACCGTCAAATCACTTTTGTTACTACCACAATATTTTTCATTCACTATATTTCAATATGTTCATCACTGGACAATAAATCCATTATTGCCGATTTCAATTGCAAAGATATGCGATATTTGAACGAAGACTTACTTTATTCAAAGTACATTAAACATTTTAATTTCATTCAAAATAAAAAATTGTTAAATAAACTCACCTTTCGCCACCTTTGCAAGACAAAAAAAATTTTATCTGAATTCCATTTCTATGAATTAACTATAAAAATCACATTTTATAAACTACTTGTTGCATTTTATCCGAATGATTTACACCTTTTTTATATTTATGAGGTACATTTAATTGAAATTGCAGTTTGAATTTAATTTAAAAGTATTTAACATCAACTAATTCTTATTTCGATAATTTTATAATCATTGTAATACAATCTCTGTCACAAGCAGCACGATTCGTGGCGACCACCACTCAGCCACTTAAAAATCATGACACACTCACTACAGATCCCTTGAGATAAATACTTGTAGACATAGAAAATATTAAATTCATCAAATCAAAACCTTATAAAATCACAACTGCTGACTCAAATTTCCCAAACGAACGACAGAAAAAAGCCTTGCCAACCAAGTTTCAAATAAATTAAACTTTATTATGCATAATCTAATCCGAAGCAGATGAGGTCTACGAAGTGGCTTAGCTGCGCTTTCACTTTGCAGTTATTTACTTAAACTCATTTGCCACGTAGTGAACATTGGGTATATGAGTATACAAAAATTTACTACAAAAAATAAATTTTTACAGAAATATGGCAACACAGCAACACGGGCAACACACTTATACACACGAGTAAGAGACAATGACAAGTGATATAGAAATTTCCTACACAACAGACAATATGCAGAAAATTAAACCAACAAAACAAACAAAAAAAAACAGAACTAAGGGAAATTGTATATTTGCTTAGAAAACATAGCGAACAAATCTAATAAAATTTTCAACACTCGGAAAAAAATTGATTCGAGCAATACAAGTGATATCCAAACACCCTTGAAAGACAACAACAGTTTTGCTTATAAAATGATAACCCACACACCGTACACCGTACACCACACAATTCACAATTGTATTGCACCCGCACCCCATCACACAATTCCCTTAAGGGACTTTAAGACATCGACCGACGACCAACAACCGACAACCGACGGCAGTGAATTGTGAAAAAATCACAGTCACACACGTTAGCTGACAGTCAAGCACGGCTAAAAAGTTTCTCTCCTACTTACGCGCATCTTTTTGTCTTACGCCTGGTACTGCTTGGTGCACGTACTTGTGGCACTTCTGCTTACGAAATGGATTTGCTTGGCTTGCTACCCTGTACGACTGCTACGTAACTCACGCAATATTGTCAGCATTTGTTTAACAACGCTAGATGGAAGGAAGACCTACGCTACAGCGGCAGGTTTTTAAAAATTCAAATTGTATTTGAATGACATTTCCCAGAGGAGTTTTTCATTCTAACGATTCGCTCGTTGTAACGAAACTAGCATTGCTAGCTTACTCCAAGGATAAGTACAAAAGGGTACTCGGAATAAAGGACTACAGAGGTTAAATACGTGTGAGTTTAATACGTGGACAGTGTTAAATGAGATAAAAATTATGTCTTAAAGTAACCTAAATATTTGAAACAAAAAACAAGTAGAATTTAAATTTACTAGTTAAACTTTTCAACGAGTAACAAAATAAGTAAAATTTAAATTATTTTAAAGAAATTTAAAAGTACTAGCAGTTTAACAAGAAAATTCAATTAAATAATAATTTTTATTAAAACAAATATTTACAATAGGAAGGGAGAAATAAAGCAGTAAAATTTCGATGACCTATAGACCTTAGATGCCCTTAAATATGAAAATGGAACTTATGAAATTAATGGTAACCATTCCGTTTGAGTAAAAATTATCAGAAGGAGGAATTACTATGTTGTGGTAGTAATAGGCCTATACATTTATATATTTCAGGCTCAAATTAAAGTTAAGTAGAATGATAAGGAACGTAGAGTGGAAGATTAAAGATTCCATCAATATCTAGAAATATAATGTAGTGAGAAATTTCCTTATCAATTATCAAAAGCTAAATATCAATGAAGACTATAAATTCTGTTTTATTAACATATATTAAAGTTTTTATTGTCAAGGTACTCCATGCCCGCGGTAAAGAGGTTAGAATATTCCTGATGTAAGGCATGCCTCTCGTTCGAGACAGTATCGAGAATCACCGATACTGTTTGAAGTATAAATGGTAGTAAGTGACTTTCGCTTACGACATCCGACTGGAGCTGTAAATCTGATAGCACGAGTGTTAGGGCCCACTGTTTCAGTTTTCCTGAATAATTGAGATAAGCCTATTTAAAAAGAATATCAAAGTTGGTATGCTTAAAATCAAAGTTGCACGGGTATAATATCTAATATTCACTACTGTCTCTTGATGTAGAGTTGGGTGTTACTACCGTGTGCTGTGCCATTAAGAGCAGCAGAGATATTAGATGTATCTTGCTCCCTCCCAAGGAGAAAGTGATAACCAAACATATAGATTCAATTGATACCTTAAAACGTACCTTGCTCCCTTCTAAGGAGGAAGCGATATCCAAACATATAAGTTCAATTGATACCGTTTAAGTTTCTTGGAATTCCAGTACGGACGTTTATCGCTGCATTATACCTACTGATGCCATAGTATTGACGCTTAATGGCTGGTAATCACGATAAAAACTATGGACTTTGTCAAATTTTTTCTAATTTAGAATGTAGTTAAAAACTTCTTCTAAAATTAGTCATTTAAAATTAGTAGTCACGATAAAAACTATGGACTTTGTCAAATTCTTTCTAATTTAGAATGTAGTTAAAAACTTCTTCTAAAATTAAGTCATTTATAGTGAAACGTGAATTGAGTTTGACAGTACGCGTATAAAGTGTACATATTACAAGTACTATTGTTGTTGTAGCCAGAAATTTACTGCAAGAGGAGTTTATAGATCATAAACTGAAAAATTGTCGAAGTAACATGCTGGATTTTTTCGGTAAAAGTATTTCTATTAATGTTGTTATTGTGTTTCCTGACAGAAAGTTATAAATCAACGTTAACTGTTATGATTATTAGAATAGCCAAAAAAAAAAAAATTCTTCTCATACTTATTCCAAAACCCAGGTAGGTCTCTTTTATACCAAGGTAGATCTTTTTTATACATGTCGTTTATCGGTTCAATTCGGAGGAGGTTTCAGTCGCTCAAGCTTCTTCCTGGCTATGTGCCGTGCTTCTATCATTCACCAAAAGATATCGATGTACTAAAAATAGTTGCACAATCACTCTAATCGGATCTGGGATCGACTATGTATAACATATTTTCTTTAAAATAAAATAATACCTGATTTTAGCTACTGCTTAAATAGATTAAATGACTTTGTCTACTTCTAATCAACAATTAGGTCCAATTTCTTTATTCTCAAGCTTTAGTTCTTGTTCTCATTGAATTGTTTGATACTTTAATTACATATTAATTTATTTTCAATTGAGAACATGTGTTTCCAATTCATATACAAACTTTCAAATTAAATCGTTGTTTAAGTATCTGAATTATTCAATGATCCTTTTACAAATTATTCCAACACAGAATAAAAAAAACATTTCCTCATTGAAACATTAGTCTCAGGCGGTTACTTACCGTTTGGGAAGTGTGTTCCGGCAGCGGCACGTGCAATATGCACAAATTTACATGTCAGACACCATGAAATGGTAACACGTGTCAATGGGTTGGAAGGACTAAAGAACTTCTTGCACCCACAGCCTAAACATACCTAAAGCGTTCTTTATTAGAATTGAATGCGTCTCTCTGCGATGTGCGCGCCAACGCTCACTCAAAGAGATTAGCTACATAAATATTATTGATTGCATTACGCCAAGTTGATTCATCATCTTGTTAACCAATTGGGGTTTCTTAATACCAGACACGTTTTCAAGCTCATAACCGAAAAAAGTTCGGAAGAGTTGAAGTGCGTATGGTGTTGAAATTTTCTCACAAGTTTCCACATTACAAAACGTTGATACAATAAGCAATAAACGATTTTTTTATTACTGGTGCATCTTTTGTATTCTTCAACTCATTCATTCACACATTAAAACACATCAAAACCCTAAAAATTTTACATTAAAAATTCATTTTTTAAACTCGTACTTTTCATTTAATGTCCACCTTCTATTTGAACTCACATCTTATTGTTGTTGTTTTTTGTTTTGTTTTCAGATTCATTAATGGGTTCCGCCAGCGAAGATGAAGATGACGATGATCCGCCACATTTGCGCGGACCACCGCTCGGTCTTGGCGTTTTAGGTCCAAACGGGCCGGACTCAGCGGGTGGACCGTTGGGTGCATCCGATATTTCAGTACAAAGCATGAGCACGGATAGTAAAAATACGCATGACGATTCAGATCAGGTAAATAACAATGATTGCAACATGTTGCAGCAACACATGTTTTTCTTTCGTTTTCTACCAAATATTGTTTTTTTTTTGTTATTTTTATTATGTTTTTTATTCATAACAATTTATATTATTTGACTGCGACTTTTCATGTTTTACCGCCTTTGTATGGTTTTGTTTGTAAGGCATTGGCTATTGACTCGGTTGCTGTTAATGATGCGCGAACGCTGTTGTTCATTTTATGATTAATGATTTGCAAATGATTATTTTAACAAATTTATTGATAAATTATATCCACTCTTATTTAAGAATTTGTAGTTGCTTCTATTCATGTAGCTAATTTTACATTATTATTTAAATAGGGGTCCTTAGATGGCGATCCTGATGGTCGTGGCGATTCACAAGCGGAAAATAAAAGCCCTGATGATGCGAATGGCTCTAAAAGACGCGGTCCTCGTACGACGATAAAAGCAAAACAATTGGAAGTACTGAAAACGGCGTTTAATCAAACACCGAAACCGACACGGCATATTAGGGAACAATTAGCAAAGGAAACAGGATTACCAATGCGTGTGATACAAGTAAGTGCAAAAAACTACACCTTTAATAGTAATATTATGTAATGTTCAACAAAGATTATAGAGTTCAAACATAGCACAAAGTACTAACTGTTAGTAAATTATGTTAATTTTATAACTACTTTCTCTTATTAGGCTAAGTAAATCCCTTGATTTTTATATTGAGATTTTTATATTAAAATTACTTCATAAAAGTTTGAAATGTATTCGGTCTTCATCGTTTTGAACGCAATGCTTAGTCCTTTGCCTATTGCCACCGTTTGATTTCTATACTTAACTTTTATGGTATGCTCGATTATAAACTTATCTTTCATAATTTTAAATCAATTTTATTTCCTTAAGTAATAAAAGTGTCAACCTTTTTTGTTAATAAGTCATTTCGAATGTCTGAAGTAAATAATTTATTTAGTGATAATGTGAATTTTTTCTGGCATGTTTCTTTCTCCAACTACTACTTGAAATACCTTTTTCGCTAAAGCATCCTCATCCCTTCTCAAAACCAAGCCAGCGAAGTCGTTAATTCGTTGAACTATATCAATGTTATTGTAAAGTTTTTACTGCTCATGGTTCATTTGGATGCGGTAGTCGATGCCAACTCTTAAAAGTTCAAAAATCATACAAAGGACTTTTTTTCCAAAATTCCAAGTGGTACTTTATCATTCGGTTATGCCATTCGAGCTTCTGCGCTATCAGAAACGCAGATACGATGAGCAACCTATAGAGCATAAGTTTTGTCTGTCAAGAGAGAGCTCTACAACTCATTTGACTACTGAGCCCATAGTACCACCAATTAGCAATGGTGATGTTTCGTCTAAGCTCCACGCTTACATCATTGTTGATAGACGAAACTCTTAATAAATTCGAAAGTATCTTTCGAATCCTCTATAACTAATAAAAATTAATAACATACAGTTGTGATAAGCATATAAAAGTGCTTTATACAGCATTAAAAATTGATTGTGATTAAAATGAAAATTGGCACAGTAGATATAATTGAAATTTGCAATTGTTAAGTAAATAAGTAAATATTTCCTGATATACTTTAACATTTTATTATAGGAAGCGGAAATCTGATATTGTAATTTAATTTTATGTATGTTCACAATACTATTTTCGTACACTGTTTAAATTATCTATTGGCAATAATAAAAAAGGAACTTTCTAATCCTACACACTTCATTGTTGATTAAATCTTCTTGTAAACAATCAGTGGAAGAAGACTGATGCCTTACGGCCGTTGAGATGGCAAGAATCTTAACGGACATTCTTAAACCGTTAACTTTCGAACACAACATTTAATGAAAAATTTTAATTAAGTAATTTTATGCCAATTTAATTAATTAGGCATTTCTGCTGTATTGTTAATGATAAATTTGAAGTGCACCTTTGCAAGAATGCCAACATATGGCAACGTTTACCAGCATATGTCAGTGTTACCAACTCATATAGGAAGCCAGAAATAGTGTTAGAAACAGAACTTTGCGAATAGAAGTTAAATTGATTTGCTCTATTTAGCTATGCTGAACAACAGTTCTTTCTGTTAGCAAAAAATTATTTAAAATTTGATTTTTTTTATGATTCAAACGAATACCAAACACTCATTTTCGTTCCACAGAAGCAATTCAAATGCAATATTTAAGTAAATAAACTTAACATTCTGCCTAATAAGGTCAAGCATAGGTAAGGCATGAGTTGAGTACACCTTTAAATATATTCAAATATTACCCAAGACAACTCTTAACTCTTAACATTTTAATAATATTTTGCCAATTTAACGCAAATTTTTGTTTATTTTATGCACATTTTTTAACATTTTTAACAGCACAAAAAGAAAATTCATTCATTGTTGCAGCTTTTCTGTTGCGGTTTGGCATTTTGTGGTTAACCAAAACGATTTTTTACATTTGCTGCCATTTTCAACCATTTTTTTTTTGTTTTTTTTTTTAATTTTTTGGTTTTATTTCGTTTCGTTCTTCAATTTTTTTTGCAATCAGAGTTTCATTAACAACTAACGAAACAAAAACAAAAGCAAAAACAAGAACACAACTTTGAGAACGTTAGCATTAATGATACAACAAAGTCCAATATGACCAAACAACAACAACAAGAACAACAACAAGAAGAAGAACGACAAGAACAATGCAGGCAGGCAGCAGCAACTACGGTAACTGCCATTATTGGTAACAACAGAAAATGTGGTCAGCCGTAACTGACAAATGTGGCTGTCAGTTGCAGTTCAAAATAATTTTCTGCAAGCTGAAGTTATTCTTATTGTTGGTGTTGTTGTATTTATTGTATTTGATGTGTTACTTGTTTTTGTTGTAATAAAAAGGCGTAGTTCCATTGCAAAAATCAAAATAAAACAAATAGAAAAAAAGCTAAGAGAAGAAAGCGTTTGAATTGAAAACCTCACAATAAAAAAAAAATTGCGGTTTAAACCGTTTGGAAAGGCAAGCAGGCAGCAGATGCTGCCAATACAACCAACCAGTGTTGCCAGCAGTGTCTTAACATTTTTATGTCAAAAAAAGTCGTAGTTATGCAAACTGCCTCCCAGTTTAGTTATAAGATACATTTATTTGTATATCTCATTTCTGCATGTCAGTTAGATACGCTACAGCGTAACACATCAGTTTGATTTCTCTACGGTTTGAGAGTATCTTTTGTGAATTTCGTTCCTTATTTATTTATTTATTTATTTATTTTTTCAATTTTTTCAATTTTTTCAATTTTTTATATTTCTTTAATTCTTTGACTATACTACTGCTATAAACTAAAAATTCTAGCTTGGCTTTAGTTGAACTTTGTTTTTCTACTTTATTTTTAAGTTTTATAACTTTTTTCCCTTCTTTTTTTTTGTTTTTGTTTTTGTCTTGTTTACCAAGAAATGCAGACAACTTTACCTCATCAGCATAAAAAATGCATAAATAATCGCATGGGAGCTTTATATTGTATAATAGCAAGAAACACAACAAAAACGAATACAACAACACATTAATAGTCGTATCTACAAAATTCTGACAACAATTTTTCATCAATATTCAAAAGTTGATAGCCGTGTGCGCGCATTTTCAAACTGACACTGACACATGAGCTTAACTTTGTTTATATGCGTCATTTGAGTGAGCGCTACAATATATAGAAACTTCATTTCAAACTTCACAGATAATTTAGTACTCATTTTAAACAATATTACAAGTACTACTAGTCTTTTCCGTTCCAAAAATGTATCTACTTAACAGTATATTTGGAAACTGCATATACCCCACAATACTCACTGAAGAAGTTGTGGAAACCCGCAGGAGAAATAAACCATAATACATTTTCTCTGTGAATGCCCGAATTTGGCGTCCAGAAGATATAGGTTCTTAGGAAGACACTTCTTTAATAGTTTATCAGACTGTTCATCGGTGAAGACGAAAGGCCTATTAAATTATCTTAATTCGACTGGATGAATTTAATCTCTACCTTTTTATACTAGGGGTTTTTGCGAGGTATGTGGTAGCAAAACGGCGAAAAATGGCTGATTGAGGTTCATGGAAATTATCTAATGACCTGCTACAGCAATCAACCAACCACATATTATAACTCTCCGATGGAATACCAAAGGTCATTAGGATGTAAAAGTATCTCCATTAAGAAGAGCAAATGTTTTAGTCTATATACAATACAGTACTGTAGCAGTCGAGCACATAAATCTAAGAATGATCAATTTGTCCTTGTGTAAACTATTCCACCTTATTAGTAGAAAATAAAATTTGGTACATTTTCAATCAAATGCGTTCATATGCCATAATAATTTGAAAAGAAGGGTATTTAGTTGAATTTTTTTTTATTCTAGCACAGAGATTTATGCAAAAGCATTATTCCTCATGTTTAAAAATAATGTTCCAAATACGTAAAAACACCGCAATAATAATTATGTATATAAACTTGATTATTAAGTTGTATGTAAAAATATTAGAATACATATATCAACGATTTGAGATCTTATTTGGTTCAATGAAAACCGTATATAGGTACTGAGTATTTCAAGAGCATGAACAAATTAGATGGGCAGACAATATTAGATTAGACTATTGGGACAAATTCAGACTATGGATAAACCAAACAATATTTCTTTGTTCGAGTACCTAGACTCATTTCCTGACAATGTCACTACACGAGTAGTTTAGTTGACTTTGTATTTTAGAGAATCTCCTGACGATAGCGTTCATACTATTGAAAGGATAGTTAAGATTAATCATTTAATCTCCATTCAAGTCGGTTAAGATAGATTTGAAAAAAAAATCAACAGCTTTCTTGTCGAATTAGTATATTTTTAAATAAAAACAAATGAAATACTTATAGCCCACGAAACAGCTGCAAAAACTTACGCAAAGAAATTCGTTGTCGACCGATACAAATTTCTGAAATAATGAAAATCGCCCTAAAAATTATAATGAAACGCTTCATTAAATTTTTGGATTTTTTAAACGGAAGTTGAAGCAGTCCACCATCCGCTCTACATCGTAGAACAGGTTACGCAAGAGGCACAAAAAGTGTAGAGAAACTATTTATAAGAAATTTTAATAAACTTTTGCATTTTAATTACTTTTTGCATATAAAAACACGCCCACTAGCCTTAGCCTTTTATTTCGAATTGCGCGATTAAAAGTTTTGATAAAAAAGAACAATTAATGTGCTTCAGTTTTTGGCGTGAATTGGTTCAGCATGAGTCGAAAAAAAAGCCTTTCCTCAAAGAAAACTTAAGACAACAATAAATAAAGTATAAATTGATTATTTGTTTTCAATTTAAAATACTCGCACTTATTGCGAAAGTTACGAAATACAATATTTAAAGCGCCACTAAACTGCGCTTATCTCTGATGCGCATAAATCATGAATGTTTAACGTAAATGCATGAATATTTTATTAACAACATAAATAAATTACAAATTGCAGCTACTTGTTAATAAAAATTTATTTATGCAATTAGTTCATACATAAATCCCAACTACACATCC